TGATAATTTCACTTCGATAGCTAACAGAGATCTCCTGTGCCCGAATGTTGGCAGCCTCTGCTTCAGCTCGGTAAGAGGCCACAAGTGCCTCCGCCTCAGATTTAGCCTTTACAAGCTCGGCGGACAACTTAGCCTCGAGCTCCTCAATCTTCTAGGCCTGGGCCAAGCTTTCCTCCTTCACACTTTGAAGTTTGCACTCGACCGAAGTCAATTGGGCCCGAAGCGCGTCTTTCTTTGAGGCAAGACGATCCATATGCTCTTTTTGCCCCAGAGTCTCGGCCTCTTCTCGAAGCTGTTCCACCAGCTCGCCTTTCTGCTGGGCCTGCAAAGTCAAAATGTTAAGTGCCAAGTCAAATGAATACATAACAAATTCCCAAAAAGTTACATTACCTGCTTGATGAGCTCAATCTGTTCTCGATGAGCCCTCGTCAGTTCGGCTCGGAGGTCCCTGATCTCCTCTTCTTTTTGAACGTAGAGGAGTTTGAGGCCGTCTCTCTCCTCCATGAGCTTCTTGAGTTCAGCCTCGCATCGATTCAGCTCAGCCCCGGGTTTGGAAAATGCTTCTCGATGGAGCGTCATGGCTTTTACACAAAGGAAAAAATCAAACATGGAAAAATGAGAAAAAACACAAGCATAATTATAGAGGCAGAAACTTACTTGTTTAAGAAGCCGCCGAGCCTCGTCAAAAATGAACGAAGCATCCGGGTCGGGACCATCTTCGACCCCAGCGAAGCATCCCTGGAATATATCATTCCCTTCGTGGGCCGTCTCCACTTCAGGAGTCTCCATAGCCCAAGCATCTCGGAACTGCCCTTCGGAGAACGTAGGGCCAGACACCGATTCATCTATATTAATTATCCCAAGCGAGTCACTTGGGACATTCTCTTCTCTTTGAGGGGCCTCAGAATTAGACCCTTCAGGCACACCCGCTAGTCGTTCTTCACGGCGGGGTGCGCTTTTACCACCCGATGGCTCGGGTACTCTGCTCGGACTTCCCTCCGTGATTTCTTTAGTTTGAAATTGAACCACCTCAACCACCATCGGCTCGGCAGCCTTTGAAGCTTCAGTGCTTCCCCTCTTCCGAGCTACCAGCAAGAAGTCGGCGTCCTATCCTTCTTCGTCTTCTTCCTGTAGTTGTTGAACCGCGTCAGCAGACAGGGCTGCAGGGTCGACCTTCGGTTTTTCAACCCTACTTTTCCTGGGCTTCGGGGTATTTGGAGGCGAGGCCCTTTTCCTCTTCTTCTCTTTAGTTGGCCTCGGGATCTCCTCTTCACCAGGCAGAGGCGGCCTCATAACAACATTGTCTCCTAGGCCTGCATGAGGAGAAACTAAGTAAAAAAAACAGTATTTTACAAATAAGCATCAACATATGAACAAAGGAACTCACCGTGGTTTTTAGCTTCCCACCGACCCCTGGCCAAATCACGCCAACAACGCTCAATATGTGAAGAAGTAGAGGTCGGTTGTCTAACCCAACCTTCGAGGTCCGGAATTGCACCAGGAAACCAAGGGGAAGCTGCACCATGAAAAAGAAATTAGATCGAAGAAGAATAAAGAAAGCAAAATAGTGAACATCATCGATGGAGTTGTGCTTACATTTCATGTTCCGTTCCTCGGGGAATGGCATTTTTTCAGCGAGGATCAGGTCAGAGGTCTTGATTCGGACGAACCGACCCATCCATCCTCGGTCCTTGTCCTCATCAATGCTCGAGAACAGCGCCTTCGTGGCCCGATGCTGGAGCTTTATCAACCCACCTCGATAAAGACGAGGGTTGTATAACCTGATCAGATGGTCGAGGGTGAAAGACATCCCCTCGACCTTGCTCGAAAAAAATCTGAGCAAAATGACGGTACGCCAGAAGGAGGGGTAGATCTGGCCAAGGGTCACCCGATATTGGCAACAGAAATCGAGTATGACCGGATTTACGGGTCCCAATGTGAAAGGATAAGTATACACACTTAAGTACCCTTTCACATAGGTAGTGATGTCCTCATTAGGGGAAGGAATCACCACCTCCTTATTTTCCCAATTACAGTCCTTTTTCACCCGCTCGAGATCGTCTTCAGATATCGAGCAGATGTATCGGGACATGGGCTCACATCGGCCTGGAACTGAGGAAGGTCTTTCAACTTTGAAATCGGAAGACAGCTCGCATGGCCCAGGAACGCACTCCTCGATGCGAGGCTCCACCGGCATTTTATCACCGTCGATCGTGATGAGGAGGCTTTTTCTTTCTGAAGGATAGTTTTAGATGTTTTAGCCATCACTATTGTGGAATTCAAGAAATGAGAAGAAGTTTATGTTATGACAAACACAAACTGAAGAGGAAAATGAACTTAAAGAAAATTGAGAAGCTTGTAGAGATTTGGGAAAAGATTTTGGAAGTAAAGATTGTAAAGATTGAGAAATTGATCTATTTATAGTGGCTACTTCAACGGTTTGAGGAAACTAGTGGCCGACCATCAGCCACTGTTAATTAATAGCCTTAGGAACTATGCAAATGCGACCCTTCAGTCACTTCTGTCGCTGACGTCATGGAATTGACGTCATGATCGAGGTATCGGAGAATCGAGGATCAAATTGTTTCTTATCACTTCACTCTAAGAAACGCGGGGACTATGTGTATACAGTCGATTCGGGCATGTCCGATTTCGTAGGCTCGAGGAGTTGCTTCGAGAATAAGCTCAAAACGGACCTAGATCGAGCCCGGTGGCAGAGTATAGAACTTGAGGATCGAAGTGCTCGTTGAAAACCAAGGCCGAGTATGACCAACCTCGAGTAAGGCATAATAATGGAATGGCGAGATATTAGCAACTAACCGAAGGTCTCGGCGGAAATCTCAGAATAGATCATACCAAGCGGTTATCGGCGCCAATCACAGATTTATTTCCGTTATTAGAGTTGTACCTTATTTAGGATTCCTCTACTATATAAAGAGGGACCCCATTCATTTGTAATCATGATACATTCACTGATAAAAAATACACACGATGCTCTCTGTTTACTAATTATTCTCTATTGTTCTTTATTGTTCTTGCTGCTTGATCTCGAGATTGTTCTGAATCGAGGTCGATACATTACCACAACACTGGTTTGATTTGTTTTATCGTCTAATTCATTTACTTAATTCATTATTTACCAATTGGTATTGGATTAGATCACGTATCCTTAAAACCACAATTTAAGTTTAATTGTTACTCAAATTTTAGGGTAAACAATAATCATGAAGAGACGTTTTGACCAAATTACGCTTATTCATTTCTTAAAAATGAGTAATGAATAACTGTATGCCTTCTCGGAATAGAAAGATGGAATTAGATATAAATAATTATTATTTTCTTAATTTTCTAAAGTGAAATAAGTTAAACGACATTTTTTGCTAAAGAGACAGAAAAAAGACTAGAAAAAGTACCACTTTCGAATCGTATTATTTGTGTTTTTAAGTGTCTGGCATAAATTTATGAAGATAATATAATAATCTTAATCATAAAAGTATTTGTTTAGCGTTTCTTGAGCCAAGAGTATTGGAACAACTTCTCTACTTTCACAAAGTACGTGTAAAGTCTACATATACACTACCCTCTCAAAACCCTCACATATGAGTTTACATTAGGCATGGCGAGACGTTTTACATATGTCTCAGCAAGGCATAAGTCCCGAGGCACGAGGCGAAGGCCCATGGGTATTTAATTTTTAATATTTTATAAAATAATATAATTACTGTAAATATTTATAAACATGTAAAATTGCATAAAAATTAAAGAAAAGTATAAATGTGTGAAAATTATATATAGATGTGCTCCATCCCCACAAAAAATTAGTCAAAACAATTTATTATACACTACTTACAAGCACAAGTAACTTGAGTCAAAAAGAATAAAGTTTTCTACAAGAAGGAAAAAAAATGATGACTAACCTACAATTTGAACTTTGAACTTGTTACTACGAAGGAGAATGGAGTTCTCTTTATATTTGTAAAAAGAAAATTGAATATTCTTTACTTTTGGGACATATTAGCATACTAGCGGATAAGATAAAGGAATTGGGAAAGACCATAAATTGAGGCTTCAATAAATAAAAAGGTCTTGCCTTTTAAATTTAATACACTTCAGTTCCTTTTAAAACTTTTGAGTAATTACAAGCTCACTTTTGAGAATTTGGGTATTATATGAAGGGCTTAGTCAACAAATTTTGTTTTAATTTGAAAAAGTCTCTGGAGCTTATGCCTCACTACAAAAACGCGCCTCAAACGCCCGAGCATAGCGTACGGCTCTTGAAGCTTTCGTCCATACCATCGCCTCGGGGCATTTTTGATGCGCCTCGTCCCGTAAACGCCTTTTAAAACACTGAGTATGACGCTGATGTTATATAAGTATCCGTATAATTATTCTTTGTTTCTCCTTAAATATTTACTTAAAATAACACTCTACTAATGAAGTTATTAAAAATAAGTTTCCCAAAAAATAATAATAATTTTAAATATCTTTCTAAACCGTCAATTAACAAAACAGATATTTAAAATAGAAATATATATATATATAAAATTTTCTTATATGATTACTTGAGGGTGGAAGCTGAGCTCATGAGTCAAAGAGTTTCCATTTCACCAAGGGTGTGATAGTATGATTAATACTCATTCATCCTTAATTAGAGATTTTAGATTTGAATTTTGAATATAAAATTGTCTTTCTTAAGGAACGCTTTACTCTTAAATGTGAGACTTTTCGACGCTAATCTAAATTTATTAAAGACATCGCATCATTCAGTTTTCAAGTCAACAAGGTTTATGATAGAGCGATAAGTACTCCTTCATTTTTAGTTAGAGATTTCAAGTTTGAACCTTAGAAATGAAGTCATCTTTATTATGAAACACTATCACTATAAAAAAAATTGATGAGAAAAATTAAATTTAATCGCACCGCAATATAGGTAAAAAAAAAACAAAATAAATGCTAACATACAGAGGGCAGAAGCTGCTTTTCTGGACCATACACTCATACAGAAGGCATATTTATTTTAATCAGTAACTTTTATATGCCTACAAATATATGATTGAGGGAGAATGGAGAGAGGAAAAAGGAAGATAGTCATGGATTTTGTTGTATTTGCAAAAAAGTAACTGTATGCAACCTTCAGTTGTCTGATTTTAGATATAGCCAATTACCTGAATTTCACAATTTCCTTTTGCTTTGAGTTTAATTACTTTCCTCAGCAGCTTAATCTTAAGTAATTGTAGAAGATATGGAGCAGCAGGAAATGAAAGAGCTGATTCCTTTACATCAAACAATTAAAATGGAAGATCAGCAGCAGCAGCAGCAGCAGCAAAAATCTCCGCATGATATTTCTTTAAATGTTCCAATTAAGAGAAGAAAAAAGGGCGGCATTATAACTATGCCTTTTATTATCGGTACAGTACTATTCATTTCCAACCAAATTCTTGTTTTCTGCTTCCATTGTCGGTGTCATCTCTTTTTGTTTTACTTCTTTGTTTTCTGGGTATAGATTTAGTTACTAATTTTGGGATTCTTTTAACAGCAAATGAGGCATTGGAGAGCACTGCAAGCTATGGGTTATTACCCAATATGACTAAGTATCTAATGAAAGATTACAGGATGGGGATCACTACTGCTCAAAATTTACTGTTTTTCTGGTCAGCAGCTACTAATTTCTTGCCTTTAATTGGTGCTTTTGTTGCTGATTCATATCTGGGTCGTTTCGTTACCATTGGCCTCGGTTGCATCTTCAGTTTACTAGTAAGTATCATTTACTACTAACATTTATCAATGTTTTCGAATTAGTACTATATCATTTATTAATGTTTTCGATTTGGTGTAACTCTGTGGACGAAGAAATAATCTAATATTTTTGTCTCCACTAAGATTTGAACTTGAAATCTCAATGTTCTCCATACACCTCATTGACTACTAGGCTACATCTTCGTGAATGTCACAATACACTACGACGTTCAACTAAACCAGTACTCTAGGTGTAACGCAAAATTTATTTGTAAAGATCTACTAAAATTACAATAAACAGTAATATGAACCTATAACTTTAAAAATATAATGAATTCAATGCTGAGAATCTTAAAGATTGAACCCATAAATCTAAATCTGCCTATCTTTAATGGTTTATCTCTTCGTTTAAGACCCTTATTCCTTCCTTTTGGTTTAGCCTTAATTGGAAAATTCTTGCTTTGTTTTCCTTATAAATGGAGGGCAGTGCGGGCCTGGGAGGGCAAATTGATGAGAGCTATAAGGGCTATTATCACTTTTAACCCGCGTCAGAAATTATTTATATTTGGTAGCCGAAAAATATATAAAATTTGTATAATTTTTGTATATAACATTCAGAATTTATATATATACAAAAAATATATCTTTTCGGCTATTGTTTTGAGAGTAACTATAAAATGTCATTTTGTCCGAGCTATATTAGATTTGACAAATATTTATATATTTATGGCACCACACCGTGTGTTTAATTAAAATTTTCCGAATATGCGAAACGTTTGTCCGTTACACAGACATTCCAAGTTAATGGAATTAAATTTTCTTGAAGAAAGTGCCACTGGTTCTTACTACTACTGCAGTACGTCTCTTATTCAATTATCCTGTCAAAATAATATACAGTCGGACGATCCAATGCAGTATAAACGTTTGAAAACTACTGACATTACTATCCTATTTGCTGCTACAAATATTTTAGTTTTTGTCTAAAGAAGCTTCATCTCTTATGCAATATCCCTTAGTTTTGGATCGTCCTATAAATGCACTAGGAAATCAAAGACAAGCTTGCACAATTCTGAATTAGGTTATTGCACATTTTACCACCCCCTAGGCCAAAAGAATCAAAATACTGCAAATGACATTTTTGAACAAAATTAAATAGTATTCCTATTAATTATTGTGCTGGGTGTGCGAACAAAGTACCACATTGGTAGCTGAAAAAATTGCGAGCCTACTAATGAAATAGGAGTAACGTGAGTTAACTAAATGTAGTTGCAATTGTTAGTCATACTGTAGTTAGGTGTTTAGCAAGGTGGTTAATTATTGTTAAAACAGTTAGTAGGTTGGTTAAGGAATGACAGATGTCACTTAGCTGGATTTTAGATTGTAATTGTATATAAGCATGTGCAAGTGGAATGAGAAGCTAAGCGTTCATTTCCATCTTCTTCTTCTCTCATCTCTATTCTTCTGTATCCAGACCTCCATTGATGAATGCTCAATCTTAATTCACTAACTACACAAATACAATCCACTGATTTTAACATGGTATCAGAGCTACACGACATTAGTGTGGTCTCATCGTCCTCAATTTTGTTCTCTCGAAGCTAATTTGGAAGATCAACAACCGCGACTCTCGATAACATAGAACCAGAGAAATTAGGTCACAATTGTATTGGTCAAAATCTGACCGCTGCGGTCGGCCTAACCGAGATCCCGTCCAAGCGACGAGACAGTGGAAGACGACATGGTTTGCTCCAAACCCCGTACTCACAATACCCGCCATGACAAAGAACGATACTCAGGGAACGACGAAAGCGGACGTGGTGTGAAAGTGTATTGACCCAAGAACATAGTGAGGATTCCATAACTATATATAGGGAGAGAATCTTCCTAGAAAATGGGGGCTTTTTCTCTCTCTTCCCTCTCCTCTGTAATCTTCTTAGTAAAAAGAAGACAAAGCAATCTTCCATTGAGGATGTAAAACAGTCATCTCCATCGATTAACAAAAGAAGAAATGAAGAACATCAATAAGATTGATCGCCCCTATTTCATCTTATGCATTATTTTCTAGATTTGTTTATGGATCTGGAGGTTATTATGTTTGACTAAGATTTACCTCTTCATCTTTGTTAATTGATTTAATCAAAAAGGTTTCGATATCTTTTAGGTCAAACAATTTGGCGCCGTCTGTGGGGATTTCTTAGTGAAAACTTCCTAGTCTCCTCCAGATTAAAAACCGGAAACATGATCACCCACCGAGAAGAACGGTAAGTAAATCTCACACGCCAACCTAGATCATGATGCTATATACAAGCAAAAGTTGCAACCAACATCCTCCCCCGCACGCCGGGCAGCCCATGAACCAGTCAAAACAAGCCTAGCCCGCACAGGACAAAGGCACAAAAAGGAAGGGAAAGAGAGCTGAATACGGTTACCGAACTCAGAAACACCATCCCCATCAACCATCGAAGCGCCAAGGAAAGCGAGTAACGCCGCCGATCCACCTTCGTTCACCAACTCATCGGATCGGGATAAGGAGAATATCATCCTAACCCACCTTCTGCTGGTTGCTCAAACAAGAATGCAAGCGCAGCACGGGCGAGCGAGCAAGGAAACATTCCAACTGAAGAATGGGAAATTATTACGAAACAACCGAAATATCATCCACCAGACAAACCCAACTCCTAGGAAATGATACCCCTTAAGTGATACTTCCTCTCCCTCACCAAAAAGGTGTCCCAAGAAAGCCTTCCCGGGGACTTAAAGAACGAGCCGACGAGGGGGAACTCCCCGAGGTCAAAGTGTAATTCATCATCCCATCCACCAATGATATCTCAAGACCGGAAAGCGAAAAGGTTAGACAGGAAAACTCCAATATGTGTGTGAAACGAGTGTGAGAAAAGAAGCAGCGTTTTTTTCTCTCCGATATTACACTCCCCGATGCAAATAAAATCAGGCGAACTGGGACTCCCCCCTGAAGATACCCCTCTCCGAAAAACCGGGACTAACGACGGGTTAATATTTCGACGAAAGTTCGAAATAACACCCTTAAGACCAAGGGTCTTCGCCAAAGAGAAGAGTTCGACCTCGATCGAACAACGACGGGTTAATATTTCGACGAAAGTTTGAAACAACACCTTGGCCTTCGCCAAAGAAAAGAGTTCGACCTCTCGATCGAACAACGACAGGTTAATATTTCGACGAAAGTTCGAAACAACACCCTTAAGGCCAAGGGCCTTCGCCAAAGAGAAGAGTTCGACCTCGATCGAACAACGACGGGTTAATATCTCGACGAAAGTTCGAAACAACACCCTTAAGGCCAAGGGCCTTCGCCAAAGAGAAGAGTTCGACCTCGATCGAACAATGACGGGTTAATATTTCGACGAAAGCTCGAAATAACACCCTTAAGGCCAAGGACCTTTGCCAAAAAGAAGAATTTGACCTCGATCGAACAACGACGGGTTAATATTTCGACGAAAGTTTGAAACAACACCCTTAAGGCCAAGGGCCTTCGCCAAAGAGAAGAGTTCGACCTCGATCGAACAACGATGGGTTAATATTTCGACGAAAGCTCGAAATAACACCCTTAAGGCCAAGGGCCTTCACCAAAGAGAAGAGTTCGACCTCAACCGAACAATGACGGGTTAATATTTCGACGAAAGCTTGAAATAACACCCTTAAGGCCAAGGGCCTTCGCAAAAAAGAAGAGTTCGACCTCGATCGAACAACGGCGGGTTAATATTTCGGCGAAAGTTCGAAACAACTCCCTTAAGGCCAAGGCCTTCGCCAAAAAGAAGAGTTTGACCATGATCGAACAACGACGGGTTAATATTTTGATGAAAGTTCGAAATAACTCCCTTAAGGCCGAGGCCTTCGCCAAAAAGAAGAGTTTGACCTCGATCGAACAACGACGAGTTAATATTTTGACGAAAGTTCGAAATAACTCCCTTAAGGCCAAGGGCCTTCGCCAAAAAGAAGAGTTTGACCTCGATCGAACAACGACGGGTTAACATTTCGACGAGAGTTCGAAATAATACCCCTAAGGCCGAAAGCCATCGCCGAAGAAAACTGGGACTCGCGACAGGATAATACTACGATATAAGCTCGAAAATAACATCCCTACGGCTAAGGCCTCTATTAGAAAAAGAATTCGGTACCATTCAGACTTTGATGGGTTAGCACCTCGACACAAGGTGAAAAGCACCGTACCATCGGCTAAAGTCGTCATCAAGGCTCTACTCAACCCGCGTGACATTGAAATCCCCTAAGAAGCGGGAAGTCAGCATGCGGAAATCTACTTTGCATCAAAATTGTGAAGAGCAAAGCAGGAAAAGGAGTACAGAAGGCATGTAACAATGAAAATTCCTCTTTATACAAAGCTACTGCGCAAACAGCCGCAGATTACCTACAACTAAAACCAACGGAGTCCAAGAAAAAACAATAAGCAACAACAAAAACAAAGAGACAAAGATAGCAATTCTTTCACTCGGCACCATCTCCGGGAGATCCTTCCTCATCACCCGCGCCCTCATCAGCTTCCGGCGTTGCAGAGTCATATCCACAGCTAACACGAGCCTCTCGTGCCTTCGCCCGTGCTCCTTCATATGCGGCCTCGGTAACGTTGCCCGCCTCCCACAAACTCTTATAGATGTCCCGCCGGGCTTCAGCATAAACCCAGAGCTCGTGCAAATGACGGGGAACAACGGCGGAGGAGGATTCAACTTGAGCCAACAATTGCTCCTTTTCAGCCTCAAGAGCAGCGACCCGGTCCCTAGGGTCGATGCCTCTCGGTCGATCTCGCCGATATGCTCCTCAAGCCTTGCTTCCATTAGCGTGGCCGTCGCCCTCTCCGATTCCTGCTCGGATTGGAGGACGCGGATGGTGTTCTCTAAAGCCGCCGCCCTCGCCAAAGCCGATGACCAGGCACTCTCGATATTTTCCAAACCGGCAACTTTTCTCTCCAACTCGGTCAACTTCCCCATCCACTCTGCGCTCATCGCCTCGACCCTGATAAGATTCTGATC